TTTTTTTTTTTTTTCTAGAATAAGCTATGTTTGGTCAATTTTTGTAATGCGTGTTATGTTAAGGATGCTGGATATGATCGATGTTTTTACGGGCGGAGCGCCAACGGTGACAACAATTCAAGGCTCGTTAGTTGCTAAATCGCAGACAAAATTATCGGTGGAGGAGACGGTCATCAAGCGCGGCATACATTCCGTTTTTCGAGCTCTGCTCTGCAACTGTAGCACGCCTATTTATAAGGTAGGCCAAAGCCTTTTATTTTAACTTGCCTTACTGCTAGGGAAGTTGCGGTGCGGTGTCACAGTCTTCTTGCGTTGACTTAGCTTCGATCAGTGCTATGGTCCTCGGCTTCTCTTTCTCTCTGTCTCTAGCAGGATCCCAACTTTGTACTTCGTTGTTGAAAAGATAAACGCTCCTGTTATATAAAGATGAAAGTGCTCTGTTCTGGTCTGGTTGAAATAAGAGCTCTGTTGTTTCAGATAGCCGTTAACAAATTGTATGAGTTCGTATCAACAGCAATGTACGATAGCCGACTGGCTGCCGATACCGTGGCCGAAATGATCTACTGTGCTGTTCGGGTTTGTTTCTTGCACATCGTGCTCACTGCGCTGTTTTGCAAATTTTGCCTCTCATGCTTCAAGTATTTTGCACTCTGCTCCTTGTCGTTGGCAGTGACTTAATTCTTCTCTGTCTTATGCCTCTCACACACAAACACACACACACACACACACGTACAGCTTGGGCTCTCCCGTCTCGAATACAGGCTTCACAGCGTTGAGCTACCATCTAGCTATCGCTTTTGATCAATTGCCAACATCTAATTAGAAGTAGAGGCTACGACGAAATCAGTGCATCTACTTCCCATTCATCAGCTGTGCAACATGGAGCCTTCAAGATCGTATCGATGGCATAATTAGCAAAATGCAAGAGACAAGCATTGCCCGTGGACACAATTTCGAGGATACTTTTCCGGTGTCTTTCAGGAAATCAGCTACGCCCGATTTATAGCTGTGTCTTCGTCGACATTTCCATTGCTCAAAATGATCAGGGCATGCTTTCTTGTCCTCGTGTCTAGATGATTTGTGAGTTGCTGAATCGAAATGCCCATTTGCGGTCAAGTTGTGTTGTGAAGGTTTAAATTTCAGCATCTGTATTTTTTTTAGACCTATCCTCAAGAATCATTGGATCGTTTTTTGGATCTCATTATAGGAAAACTGGACCCATTATTAAAAGGTTACGTTTTTCACTGACTTTTATATGCGTCTGCGGTTTTCAGGCAGATTTTTTTTAGTATCGTTTCTGTCTGTGTATGTGAATGTTTTATCTTAGGAAATAAGTAAGCATGAAAACATCTCTAATCATATATATTGTGTTCAATAGCTAAATCGATCTTATGCCCATGTATATATTGTTAAGCCCTGTTTCTCATCTGAAATTTCAGTGGTGGTTTTGCCTCGTAGTGTTAACATTGTGTAAAAGAGGGTTCTGCCCTCTCCTGCGTACCGTTAAATTCTTCATTTTTTCATTTCTCACTAGGCGGTAAAATAAAAATGCGCCTTTCTGCTTTAAACCAGGCAGAAAGAATTATAGTTAAAAGTGGCACTAAGTTCTTGTCTTTTTTTTGAAACACAGTGGGATCGAGGTCATCGGACACGTGCCTGGCTGGGCTGAACTAAAATACGATGTTGTTACAAACATCATTATGTATGCGCGGCGCGATTTTTTAGCTTTCTGCTTTAGATTTTTGTTGTGCTGAGATGAATGTACCACGCCGTGCAATGAGATGTGTGAGGAGGGGAGGTAGGAAAAGAGGAAGGAGAGGGTGGACCACTTGCTTCTCACTTATTGAACGCCGTCGTTTAATTTGTTTTGATTTTTCCTAAACCGCTGGTGTTTACACTTGTACTGTGAAAGAAAAATCTGAAATCGAGGTCACCAAGTTATACTTGCAATAAAGTGCTGTGTTTTGTTGGTGCCTTGAATTGCGGTTGAAATTAGCATTCTTGGACTTCTACAGTAGATGGGATTGTTTTTTTCTGAATTAAATAGGCTAAATGGCTTGAGAGAGCTGGTAACTGCTGGAATGTTGCGTTAGCATTTTCTGTTTTTCTTTTCAAAACATGCATATTGGGTGGCCGTGAGGAGGAGTTCGGAAAAAGTGAACTTTCAGATCAGTCTTTTTTGTTTTTTAATCGGAACAACTGTTGATTTGCAGATGTGTCTGCCGATGACGAAGAGCTAGACTCCACTGTTGTATGGTAC